TGGGTGGTGTAAAGCAAGGGTGGAGTGGGTATGAAGGTGGAGTGGGTAAGTAAGGGTGGGTGTGAGCAAGTGTCATCAGCGTACTTACCTACATGTGGCAATGGGTCGAGTCTTAGCTTCTGGCTCTGCCTCTTAACTTGCTACTTGCTAGATAAACGGTCTCCTAGCCTCATGGGCCCTAACATATCTATTCTTAAAACTATGTATGGAGTCTGCCTCCACCACTTCTTCATCGAGGTCATTCCAATTGCTAACCATCCTGAGAAAAAAAAAAAAAACTTTCCCGACATTCCTCTGACTTGTCTGTCCGTAGCTTGCAGCTGTACCCCTGAGTACTTGTTCCTGTGGAGCTTTGCCTTAGTCCAAATGCTCATTGAACACCTCCCAGTGCCGATTGGGATGTCACACTCCAAGATGAAAGCCAACTCCCTACACCTCCCTGCTTCACCAACCTTCAGGCTTTCCTCTCTGCCAATCACTGATGTACTATGTTGAAAATGGCATAAAATACTGACAAATTGCAACATTTTGCATACACAGCAGGTTTCTTCAGTCAAATACAAACGCAGCAGATATAGTAAGACAACTTAAATATTGAATCCTTAGTTATTGACTAATCTTTACCAAACAAATATAAGTACTCGATACATACATAAAATGAACAAAGTTTGAACACATTTGGTAAAAACTGAGAAAAATGTATTATGGCATTTATAATTCGTACTTAGGAAAATAATAACAGTTGTCGCAATGTCAGAAGAGCGAACCATTGTTTTTAAGTAATTATGGGTAACTGGTCCCAAAATGCCAACAACTTAACCTGGAACCTCGTAACTTGGGGGTCTTACTGTAGCTCGATTTGTTCATAATGGAGAAAGCTGAAAAATCAACTCAGCCACTTAAAGACTAACCTATCTAGAGTGTAGTTTATCAATGAACATTAAATTTAAATAATTTTTTTTTTACTGCATATACATATACTATATAAGCTCTCTAAGGCTACATATGCTTCTAATTTTCTATTCTGAATGTGTGTGTTTTGTGAATTTCATACAACAAATATTAAAAATAGTATTTTTATTATGGTTTAAGTTTATGATAATGTAAAACATATTTGAAATTTCTGAATAAATTATGAATTTGATTTAACAGAAGAACTCTACCTCAAATTTGAAAAGATTCAGTTTTGTTTAATGTTTATTTCAGCATTGCCTCACGATGATCAAAACTGAAGTTCTATTAAGCCTAAAATTTTGAAATCTTCCCTATTATTATACTAAGAAATAATTAGCAAGTGCTCCGCAATTTAAAATTAACTTTCCAAATTTAAAATAAAAAAAAAACAATCAATGGTAACAATAAAATGCTCTGCAATACAGAAAGAAAAAAGCAGCAGCTATAGTTTAGTTGAATTGTTTTAGAGTATGGTGCAATTTAATCAATATTTACTAATAAACCTAGTATTAAGCAAGAGATGAAAACATACCGTATTAGAAAAGAGAGTAACTTAAGCAATAATTCAGGATTTGCACCTTAAATGCATATACACTAAGAAGTTAACAAGCATTAAATCTATTTACAAGAGTTAAGAAATTAAGAAAGCAGCACAGCCAATTATAAAATATATAAGGGAGGTTTTGTGGGCGAGGGGCTTGGACTTCCAGCAGGCGTGCATGAGCGTGTTTGATAGGAGTGAATGGAGACGAATGGTATTTGGGACTTGACGATCTGTTCTAGTGTGAGCAGGGTAATATTTAGTGAAGGGATTCAGGGAAACTGGTTATTTTTATATAGCCGGACGTGAGTCCTGGAAATAGGAAGTACAATGCCTGCACTCTAAAGGAGGGGTTTTGGGATATTAGCAGTTTGGAGGGATATGTTGTGTATCTTTATACGTATATGCTTCTAAACTGTTGTGTTCTGAGCACCTCTGCAAAAACAGTGATTATGTGTGAGTGAGGTGAAAGTGTTGAATGATGATGAAAGTATTTTCTTTTTGGGGATTTTCTTTCTTTTTGGGTCACCCTGCCTCGGTGGGAGACGGCTGACTTGTTGAAAAAAAAAAAATAAAGGAAATTATTTAAGCATAATACACGCTTCCAGGATGTGATGTTCTGCTAAAATTTGAGAGCTGGAAGACTGGATAGCACAAGCAAAATAGAATTTTATTGGTTTGAGTATTATAAACCCCCAAAAAATTACCCGAAAGCTTTCACATTGATTTTCTACAAGAAAAAAGTTTGAGAAGAGAGTTTAGCCAGTGTAAATCATTAAATGTAACAGAAAATGATAGGCCTACAAGATTTGATTTCATATTATAAGTGATCTAATAACAACTAAGCTAATCTAACTTCAGAAAACTCTAAGCACTTCAGTATTACACTGGGAGGCAATCTCTACAGACTTCCTACTTCCCTTCCTCCCTCCCTTTCTTTGAAAGAACTATTGTACAGACCTAAGTGTTAAACATATCATTGAGCTAAGCATGGCAAGAGATGGCATATTTTTTTTTTTTAACAAGTTGGCCGTCTCCCACCGAGGCATATATCTGAGATGGCATATATCTGGATTAAATGAGCGAAAGCATAATTCTGAAGGTAGGTAGAAAAAAAAAGTTCAGAGTTGGAGAATAGAGCAGTTGTCGACAAAACCCCTAAAATATTGTATTAAGAAAATACATTCAGAGGATATGAGGCAGAGTAAACATGTTAGGGCACTGAATTTCAGGAGAGGATTAAGTGTCAGTGGGGCTTATGATAAACAGGGTATCTATCATTAGATGCTCGGCTATCAGCGTAACCTGGCAATCTTTGAACGATGACAAAAAAAAACACCATTCCAAAGGATGACCCTGGCAATCTTTGAACGATGACAAAAAAAACACCATTCCAAAGAATGACCCTGGCAATTCTGTTGTAATTCTGAAGTGCCAACTGTACAGAGTCTGCAAGATGATTGCCCTGAATACTACAATAGTTAATGATCCAATAAAACAATGACTTTTTATATTATGGGAGTGAGAATACACCAATGCTGAGTGACAACAAAATGCCATTAATCAAAGATGTGGATTGAGTTTAATGTATTTTAAGAAAACATTACCATACAAATGTGATTGTAATATGAAGGATGACAGTGCAAAGTCCACGTAATTCTGCAGTAAAAATACTAGCCGAGTGGTAGATGCCCTTGGAAAATATGCCAAGGAACAAGGAAAAGAAGTGAAGATTATCACAAAACAGCAGAAAACTTTGAGTAACAGGCAAACAACAGCAGTATCAGTGTGATTGGAAATGATCAAAGAGTGCAGTCAAAAGCACAAATTAATCTTGGAAGAAAAAGAACTAAATATCAATCGTAAGAGCTTTTTCATAGTGGGAGGAAGAAGTAAAAAAAGAGTGATAAGATAAGGTAGACATAGTAAGAAAACTAGGACCAGATTGTGTAGACATACGAGTACCTATCAGAAACTGAGATGCTAGAATGAGAGTTTGAGGGATAGAAAACACATCAGGTGAGGCACCCATAAGAAATTAAGTGAAATAGCAGGTTATTCAGAGAGAGAGAGAGAGAGAGAGAGAGAGAGAGAGAGAGAGAGAGAGAGAGAGAGAGAGAGAGAGAGAAAGAGAGAGAGAAAGAGAGAGAGAAAGAGAGAGAGAAAGAGAGAGAGAAAGAGAGAGAGAAAGAGAGAGAGAAAGAGAGAAAGAGAGAGAGAAAGAGAGAGAGAAAGAGAGAGAGAAAGAGAGAGAGAAAGAGAGAGAAGAGAGAAAGAGAGAGAGAAAGAGAGAAAGAGAGAGAGAAAGAGAGAGAGAGAGAGAGAGAGAGAGAGAGAGGGAGAGAAGAGAGAGAGAGAGAGAGAGAGAGAGAGAGACAGAGAGAGAAGAGAGAGAGAGAGAGAAAGAGAGAGAGGAGAGAGACAGAGAGACAGAGACAGAGAGAGACAGAGACAGAGAGAGAAGAAAGAGAGAGAGAGACAGAGACAGAGAGAGAGACAGAGAGACAGAGACAGAGAGAGACAGAGAGAGAGAGACAGAGACAGAAGACAGAGAAGACAGAGAGAGAGACAGAGAGACAGAGAGAGAGAGACAGAGACAGAGACGAGACAGAGACAGAGACGAGAGACAGGACAGAGACAGACAGGAGAGAGACAGAGACCAGAGAGAGACAGAGAGAGAGAGAGAGAGAGAGAGAGAGAGAGGAGAAGAGAGAGAGAGAGAGAGAGAGAGAGAGACAGAGAGACAGAGACAGAGAGACAGAGACAGAGAGACAGAGACAGAGAGACAGAGACAGAGAGAAGAGACAGAGAGAGAGAGACAGAGAGAGAGCAGAGAGAGACAGAGAGAGACAAGAGAGAGAAGAGAGAAGAGAGAGAGAGAGAGAGAGAGAGAGAGAGACAGAGAGAGACAGTGTGACAGAGAGACAGAGACAGAGAGAGACAGAGAGAGAAAAATAGCATGTCTGGATAATTATAGACTGGTTATGACAATGACTGCATGGACCTCCTTACTTTACAACAGGAAATAGCACTGAACAATAACTGAAAAATCTATGGAATGAGTAAATAGATTTAAGGGAGTTATGTTGCAACCCTGGCCCAGGGCCAGGGTACGAGAGCAGAAAAACTTTCAAAGCTGTTCAAATGTATATCAAGTATATGTTCTATAACGCATTTATTATTTCCCATTAGTCTCAGTGTTATCAGTTTCAAGAACGAGTTATGAAAAAAATTTAAGAATTAATAATTTCACAGTACAATACAAGCACCATAGTAATATCCAAGCAATTAATGCAAAAATGTCTGGAAAAATATAAAACTAAAGTCAAAAGTATAATGAAAGCATTTAGGAGGCAAAACAGTTGTGTCATTAAATAATATAACCTCTATAGAGCTAAATTTTGCAAGCATGCACGTTATTTGAATAGAAAATCATGTCTCAAGAACCAGAGAAAGGTTCTGTATGCAGAGCCCATGCACATATAACAATGAATTGCAAACTGACCTCATCGTCTGACCCAAAACCAACCTGGGTGTCGGTTTTCACGTCTCCATTATCTGGGTGACGGCGAGAACGGCGTCCATTTTTCTCACTTTCAGGTATCTTTCCAGCCATGCGACTAGGGATCTTGTGAGGCTTGTAGTCCTTATTAGAAGTATCCACATCCTCTTCCTTAACTTCTGTTTTCTATAAAATGAAAACTGAACTAAATAATTGCACAAAATTGGTTTCACTAGAGGAATTCAGATTGCACTTTTATAAAAAAAACTACGCTCTGTCTGTTACCATTACAAATTCAGACTTACCATGAATTTAGTGTTGCTATAGGTGAGGATGTCTGCTATTGGGAGACAGTACAGTTGTCTATGTTGTAAGATTCAGAACAGGTAAAAGTCAGTTCCTGAATATATTTTAAGAAAAGTAGGAAATAGTCATACTTATGAATGCAAATGAGAAGTTACTGGTTGGAGTGCTGGACCCAGCAGGACCTTCAGCACTGGTCACATTGCAATTACCCCCATAAGTATACTTTACACTTTTATAGTCCAACAAATCAAAGCATTAAAAAAATTACACTTGATAACAAATGCAGTCATTTAGTTAAATTACAAAAACAGATACTGATGAAGATTCCCTTAAAATTCTAGACACATACAGTGGTACCCTGAGTTTCGGCCATAATTCATTCCAGAAGGCTGTTTGAGTGCTGTTACCAAACAAATTTGTTCCCATAAGGAATAATGTAAATTAGATTAGTCCGTTTCAGACCCCCAAAATTACACTTACAAAAGCACTTACAATAATACACTTACATAACTGTTCGAGTTGGAAGGTGGCTGAAACTCGGGGTACCACTGTACCATGTTTTTATGATTTTCAACTCGTCCCAGACAACTCCTTTAGCACCCATGATCATATACATCACAAAAAATTTAAGCAGGTCAAGCCTAAGCTTGTAGCATAATTACATCTCAGTCACAGTAACTTCAAAATATTTTAAGAGAACAGCACTCCAGACATGCCTAAGTTGGCTGTGGTCTTTATTTCCATGCAGTCAATAGGTATTAAATCTAATAAACAGATTTAAACAGCAAAAACAAAATTTCCCCCATTCCTTCACCACTTCACCTTCAACCCACCTTCTTAACCACAGACATCTTGACATCGTAATAAAACCAGTCATATGGGTGGCTGTTGATGGCACCTTGGACAGTTGAAATATGACTTATTGCAGCCACATAGTGGGTCCTGTTTTCTGTATGTGGCAGACTTTTGTTTTTAGCACTTTTTATCTTACACAGTTTTCTAACATATCCTAGAATGTGCTGCAAACCATACGTAAAAAAAAAAGTGACAGTTGCTAAGATGCGTTGCTTGTCTTACAAGAAAAAGAAGTTGTGCCAACATAATACACCCAAAGATCTCTGTGTATTCAGTGTATACATATATAAAATTTACTTTACCCCTATTTAATTAATTCAGGGAAAATTGTATGCTGGATTTAAAATTCTGGAGGTAGGAATTGCACAAGTACATGGACTCTGAACAAGGGGTAGGGATAATGCAGTTTTGCGAGTCACTTGAACTGTGACATCTACACACTTCTGGCAAGATAATAAGTATAACTGAATGAGCACGATTCCTTTCTCAAGTCACCCCACTTTGGAGAGAAATGGTCAGTGAGGTAATGTATTTTTACAGTAAACAGTATTTAATGTTGTACTAGCATTTGCAATGTCATGCATACCTTTTGCTACTGAATCTGATGATTGCATATTAAAATAACTTATCATCCATATTATAGATTCCATTACTAACTCCAATGTTAACAATAATTTGGGATTATGTTATTCTTGAGCATCTGTTCTTTCAAGAAATTCACACGTGCTCACACAACAAATCATAAATGCAACAACAACAATGAAGAAACACTAAAGTTTATATTTAAGAGTGACAGTATGATTGTTAAGATCATAAGCTCTAGAAAGATGTGCTTTCAACTGAGACTTGAAAGAATGAACAGATTCATGATTTTAAAAAACAATGGCTACCTGCTGAACAATCTAAGGGCTACATAAAAAAAAAAGCTTTCTTTGAATGACTTCTTCGCAACAGCATAAGGGTTGATCAGTTTAAAAGGGTCTGTGGCAATCTGCAGAAACATTCCCGAGTCTGATGCAGAGGCAGAAGCAAATCAGCAAGCTATCGGTGGGAAACGGCCAACTTGTTAAAAAAAAAATTACACCATTTAAATTCAGTTTTTTCCCTTGATAGGGAGCCAATACAGCTCATACAAGTAGGGACTAGTGGGAACCCCAGTAAGGAGCAAAAATACTAGTCTGGCTGCACAACTCAGTACTGACTGCTAGTTAAGCAAACTCTCAAACAATTGCAAAAAATTGATTTGAGAGAAAAACTCATGGATAAGGACCAAGATATTCTGCTTATTAAGATATTTTCTGCCTGTATAGATTACAAATGTGAAAACTGAAAGACTTTACTTGGTTCACGTGTCCAGCACTTGACAATGAAGAATCCAGGTAGAAACCTAGATCCCTCACTGATCCCACAAGCTGCAGACGACAGAACCAAATATTGTGCATGTTGACTTCAAAGTCTCCAAAACATTACAATAATACTTTTTAATACATATACAGTACAGTATTTCATTATGTAGTTAAAATTGTTAGATCAAGGTTCAAACCATGTCCTAGGAATGGTTGGAGACAAACCAGTCCCAGTTTAAGTCTGCTCGAAGTACTGCACATTATGGGCTTTTTAAATTTTTACACAACTGTTAACTCATTCATTGTAATATCTATTAAGTTGTACATTTGAAATAATTTATATGACAAGGAATGAAATTTCTAGTTTACACAAGATCACTGTCTCATGTAAGGGTAATCATTATAGTAAGCAAATACAGTATACATACATACATACAGAATCCATGTAGGTCAACTGATAAAATTTCAAGTAGTAGGCCACATATCTAACAAGCTTTCAGATAAAAATGTCCAAACTAGGACACTTCAAAAGGGCCAGTAGTTGGTTAGAAGAGGTATGGAAGAGAAAGCAGAGATGTCTGGCATTACTGCTTTGAAATGCTAGAAGTGCTTGATGTGAGATGCAGTTCATGAAAACCTGATGCCAAATTCCAGGATCATGATCTATAAATAATAAGACAGTGCTTATCAGCTACTTTGCAGTCCTCATTAATGCATTAGAAGGCATGTATCAATTTACCAGCACTTACTATATTTGGCAAGATCTTCCCTCTGTTGAAAATGTCGTAAGGCTGAAGTATTCGCTCATAATGAGATTTTAGTAAAGTTCCTAAATTCTTATTTGATGGAAATCCCATACGTGAAGCTATTTTACTCCACTTGCGTTCCTTTGAGACCACTTCATTTCCTCCTGTAAGCAAAACAGCAGAAATCAACACATTAATATATTGTAAATGATTAATATCATTCTCAGTCAACTATGTAATGAAGCACAATAATAACAAATCAGTTTTTATGCCAAGTTTTCCTGTGTTCATTAGAGTTCAAAAGCTCATTTTTGCTATTAAATGTTCTTAAATAAATTATAAATGTCTTTAGCTGTATTAGCTTAATTCTGTCACAAATGCTGTGCATACATGTGCAATGCTATAGTTGTTCTGCATTAGTACTGTACATACTAAAAATCCTATTGCATTGCCATTAAAAAATACCCAAGGTGTATTGCATTTTGAACACACCTGTTCAGTAAATAGAGGTGCACAGTTTCATGTACAATAATATAGTGACTCAACCTTGCCATCAATTAATTCATAAGATTGAAATTTAAGCTATGTAGATAATCACTAAAATATAAAATGTTTAACATGATTAAATAATGGGTTTAATTTGTTAGATACTGTATTTTGTTAAAAAACAAAGTACTGTAAAATAATCAACTTGCCTTCAGACCAAACATGTCTATGTAGTGAATATAAATCTAGAGCCTTCCTCTCAACTACTGGTATCTTCAATGATGAACCTTGTAGCTCCCAAAACTTAGCAATTTGGTCCAAAAAATTCAATTTTATTCTTGTGTGAGCTTCAAGTTCATTCAATCTTTGAATACGAGGTGTAAACTTGAAGTTATCAACGTCAACTGCAAATGGAGGCTGCCAGTCCTGCAAGTAACTTATAATTCAGTAAAACTGAAAATTATAAAACAATGAAACAAATATTGTCAATGTAGTAAATTTAAAATGATATACGTACTGTGATGTTTTGTTTACTACATCTAAACACAATTATGCTCTATGAGGGAAAGGGAATCTCTAAACCACAAAGCAAAATTGTTTGATTTTGATAAACAAAATACTGAAAGGAGATGTTGCCAAAAATCAATAGGAAAAAATAAACTTTTTACAAAATACAATACAAATCATGACTTTTTCCACAGCCTGCATAGTATTAATTATCTTCAGATCTGGCACTATAGAATACTCCACAGTACATGATATGATATTAGGTTTATTTCTATCAACTGTAGGGACAAATGGATACTAGGATTTATGGTTTATACAATTTACAAATATATAAACTACATAAAAACCACAAACCTGTTTAGCATAAATATTTGTGTACATGAGGAGATTTATAAGTACATATTGTATTACCATGGATAAAAATCATGAAAATCTGTGATCAATTAAGAGCCAAATGTTGAACCACAGCTGAAAAATTTGGGTATTAGAGATTGAAAAGTTATTTTACCTTTTACCAAAGATAACTAATAAAAAATCTTGAACTTTTTCAATGCTCTTCTGAAGAACTCTTGTTGCACTTCACATTATTCAACAGGATAGCAAATACTATTTCCTCCAAGCTGTCTATCCTTGCTCTTGCTCTGCTACCTTCTAATTTATATAATTTGCATGCATCCACACTGCCTAACTGTTCTTCCTCATTTTCAGACCCCTCTATCTATTTATAGCTATTTATCTATCTATCTACATTTATATATCTGGGAGCAAGAGGCTAGTAACCCCTTCTCCTGAATACATTACTAAAGTCAAAAAGAGAAACTTTTTTTTGGGGGGGGGGGGACGGGAGGGGGTGCACCCTGCTTTGGTGGGATACAGCCAGTTTGTTGAAGATTTATATATCTATATTTATACATGTATATCTATATTCATATATCTATATCTATATATGAGCGTGTTCGATAGGAGTGAATGGAGACAAATGGTATTATTTGGGACCTGACGATATGTTGGAGTGTGAGCAGGGTAATATTTAGTGAAGGGATTCAGGGAAACTGGTTATTTTTATATAGCCAGACTTGAGTCCTGGAAATGGGAAGTATAATGCCTGCACTCTAAAGGAGGGGTTTCAGGATATTAGCAGTTTAGAGGGATATGTTGTGTATCTTTATACGTATATGCTTCTAAACTGTTGTGTTCTGAGCACCTCTGCAAAAAACAGTGATTGTGTGTGAGTGAGGTGAAAGTGTTGAATGATGATGAAAGTAATTTCTTTTCGGGTCACCCTGCCTCGGTGGGAGACGGCTGACTTGTTAAAAAAATTCATATATCTCCTAGGTAGTAGGTTGGTAGACAGCAACCACCCAGGGAGGTACTACCATCCTGCCAAGTGAGTGTAAAACAAAAGCCTGTAATTGTTTTACATAATTGAATAATTGCTGGTGTCCTTTTTTCTGTCTCATGAACATGCAAGATTTCAGGTATGTCTTGCTACTTCTACTTACACTTAGATCACACTACACATACATGTACAAGTATATATATACACACACCTCTGGGTTTTCTTCTATTTTCTTTCTAGTTCTTATTCTTGTTTATTTCCTCTTATCTCCATGGGGAAGTGCAACAGAATTCTTCCTCCGTAAGCCATGCGTGTTGTAAGAGGCGGCTAAAATGCCAGGAGCAAGGGGCTAGTAACCCTTCTCCTGTATAGATTACTAAATTTAAAAAGAGAAACTTTTGTTTTTCTTTTTGGGCCACCCTGCCTCGGTGGGATATGGCCGGTTTGTGAAAAATAAATAAAATAATAAATATATTATATATATATATATATATATATATATATATATATTATATATATATATATATTATTTATAATATTTATATATATATATATATAATATATATAATAATATAAAATTATTATATATATGTGTGTGTGTGTGTGTGTGTGTGTGTGTGTGTGTATAATATATTATATATATATAATATATATATTTACACAAACACACACACACATATATATATATTATATATATATATATATTATATATATATGTCGTGCCGAATATGTAAAACTGGTCAATTAGCAAGAACTCATTTAAAATTAAGTTCTTTCTAAAATTTTCTCTTATACGTTTAAAGATATATTTTTTTCATTAATGTTAATGTAATAATTTTTAATTTTGCAGCAAAAGAATCTTAGAAAACTTACCTAACCTTATTATAACAAGAAAAATTTATTTTAGCCTAACCCAACTAAATATATTTTAGATTTGTTTACAGTAATTTAATACTAAACAAACACAGTGAAATATATTTTTTTTTGTTAGGTTCAGAATGATTTTGGCGAAATTATTGCATACACAAATTTTCACTTGTCCTATATGGCAAGATGAGCGTTGCTATTTAAGCCAAGATCGCAAGTTCTGCCTATTCGGCACGACATATATATCTTTATTTATTTATATACCTATCTATATATCTCTTGCCTGACAACTCATGAACACAAAACTTGCTACTGTCTTTTCTCTACATACCCAGAGCATTAGGATAATTTACATTTTCCATTGCTATATCAGTATTGGATAATACCATTAGAACAAACCTGAAATTAATTAATGGTAATAGGATACATGACTGAAATTAATAGAAAGAAAAAAGTAACAAATAACAGTTAAACTATATAAGTAAAACCCATACATAAAATTTTTTTTTTTTCAACAAGTCGGCTGTCTCCCACCGAGGCAGAGTGACCCAAAGAGAAAGAAAATACTTTCATCATCATTCAACACTTTTACCTCACTCACACATAATCACTGTTTTTGCAGAGGTGCCTAGAATACAACAGCTTAGAAGTATATACGTATAAAAATACACAATATATCTCTCCAAACTGCAAATATCCCAAACCCCTCCTTTAGAGTGCAGACATTGTACTTCCCATTTCCAGGACTCAAGTCTGGTTATATAAAATAACCGGTTTCCCTGAATCCTTTCACTAAATATTGCCTTGCTCACACTCCAACAGATCGTCAGGTCCCAAATACCATTTGTCTCCATTCACTCCTATCTAACACGCTCACGCACGCTTGCTGGAAGTCCAAACCCCTCACCCACAACACCTCCTTTACCCCCTCTCTCCAACCTTTTCGAGGACAACCCCTACCCTGCCTTCCTTCCCCTACAGATTTATACTCTCTCCATGCCATTTTACTTTGATCCGTTCTCTCTAAATGGCCAACCTCAACAAACCCTCTTCAGCCCTCTGACTAATATTTTATTAACTCCACACCTTCTCCTAATTTCCACACTCCGAATTTTCTGCATAATATTTACACCACACATTGCCCTTAGACAGGACATCTCCACTGCCTCCAACTGCCTCCTTGCTGCAGCATTTACTACCCAAGCTTCACACCCATATAAGTGTTGGTACTACTATACTTTCATACATTACCTTCTTTGCCTCCATAGACAACATTTTTTGCCTTCACATATACCTCAATGCACCATTCACCTTTTTTCCTTCATCAATTCTATGATTACCCTCATCCTTCATAAATCTATCCGCCGACACGTCAACTCCCAAATATCTGAAAACATTCACTTCTTCCATACTCCTCCTCCCCAATTTGATATCCAATTTTTCTTTATCTAATATGTAGCTAAAAGATTTCGAGATTTCTACTTGACTTTTACCTCTACACAGTCCTATATTTGAACAGTTCTCCAGGATACAACAAAGCCTGTACATAGAGGAATCAATCAGTGAACTAATCCCAATGTTCTGGCACATATAAAATAAGAGCCAACCAGGAAGAAATATATGATTATTAATTTTTTAATTCAAATCCATTTAAAAGCAACAAAGCTCAATAGGCAGCAAATGGGAGGCATAACCAGTATAAAAAAGAAAAAAAAAAAAACCCACCCATGGAAGAAATGTTGCACTAATAAAGGTTTTCACTGTAATTTGTGTCTATCACAACCATCAATAGGTTGCAATTGCCTAACGCACCTCCACTTTTCCTAAATGCCAATGGTCTTACCAATTACATAATTAAACACACCACACTGCACATCTTCCATCACACTCGCACAACTAAACCAAGCAGAATATAAGACTAGAATACTAAATATTTAATATTCACTGACCACTTGTAATACAAATGCAAAGGACTATATGCAACATAGTACAGTCTATACAACCTAATTTAAGCAAAAAGGGTTTCAGAAATTATTGTTCAAGGTTATAGGAAATGTTAAAAGCCTTTTTAATGAAGATTGATTTACAAAATACATGTATGGCAAATGTTTGGGGAACTTTCCTTCAATATCATGAAATCAATCCAATATATTTTCAGTTTTTAGCATTTATCAATACCATAGACAATTATATTACAGTCCTAACCTGACTATATATTCAGATTTTATGTGATAGTTTAACATTACAGTATTCTACTTTCAATGTACTCTATTTGACAAGTTCCCCAAATTTTATATATATATATATATATATATATCTACATACATATATACATATATTATAATACATACATATATATACATACATATATATACATACATATATATACATACATATATATACATACATACATACATACATACATATATATACAGTGGACCCCCGCATAACGATGGCATCGCATAGTGATTTTTCCGCATAACGATTACTTTTATCGCAAAATTTTTGCCCCGCATACCGATTAAAAACCCGCATACCGATTTTCGTCCGAGACGCGTCCAATGTGCCCTCAGCCAGCCTCACATGTGCCGCTCCGTCCCATTGTTTACCAGCCAGCCTCCGCGGTAACATCCAAGCATACACTCGGAATATTTCGTATTATTACAGTATTTTCGGTGCTGTTTCTGGAAAATAAGTGACCATGGGGCCCAAG